CCCCAAAACCCCAAAACCCCAAAACCCCAAAACCCCTTTATTTTAGATAAATATTGAAATTTTGAGTAATTAATAGCATCATTTCACACTTATAAAAGAGATATGGTTTCACTAGTCTCACAGATGTACAACACATTGAGCTTCTGGTATTGTTCAAGAGTTTGGAAAAAGTCTTCCTGGTGGAATCCTCCTTTATTCACAACTGCTCTCTCAACTTTAGAATATTTGGCAGTTTGCCCTGCTTCGTGTGAGCAAATCTCTCTAATAATGCCAAATATCTTAGATAAAGAGTCTGTTTTCTCGTTAAAGATGTTATTCATTCTTTCATCTTCGTCTTTTTCTTTATTAACTGATTCTCTAGCAGACTCCATTAATCTGAGGGCTTCCTCAACATCATTCTGAGAGACAGTCTGACTCTGTCTGATCTTGGCAATTGCTTGCGAAATTCTGATGATTCCCAACAAAGTTCTCGGAGTAATATAGTTATTCGAGTTTTTATAGCTCTCTCTCGAAGATATTTTCTGCTTCTGATCAACGTAGCTACTGACAATAAAATTGTGAATGTCCTTAGGAATCACTGGCTCAATCCCGATCACAGTAGAAATGAACCCTCTGATAAAATCATGCGAGTATGGTTCCAATTCAAGCTTGGGAGGACAAGAATTTTGATGAACATAAGCAACATGTCTAGCAAGCATTAAGTCATGCTCCTCATTTGCTTTATCTAGCATGAGGAAAATAATATCAAATCTGGACATCAAAGCAGCTGGGAGATTAATATTTTGATTTACACTAAGTTTAGTATTATATCTTCCATACACAGGATTAGCAGCAGCAAGAACTGTAGTACGAGCATTCAAGCTACAAGTCATTCCTGCTTTAGCAATAGATACAGTCTGCTGCTCCATAACTTCATGAATGTTTGTTCTGTCAGCCTCATCCATCTTATCGAATTCATCGATACAGCAGACTCCCATATCAGCCAATACAAGAGCTCCTCCCTCAAGTATCAATTCCTTAGTCAAAGGATCTCTGATCACAGCTGCTGTGAGCCCAACTCCTGAGCTTCCTTTGCCAGTAGTGTAGACACCTCTTGGAGCAAGGTTTGCCACTAGCTTAAGTAATTGTGATTTGGCGACTCCTGGGTCGCCCATCATAAGGCAGTTGACATTTCCTCTAATTTTCATTCCATCTTTCATTTGCTTAGTAACACCTCCTACCATGGAAAGTAGGAGAGATTTCTTGATATTGATGTGCCCATAAATCTCTGGGCCGATACTCTTGGCTAATCTCTCATACATTTCATCCTTGTGAAGCCTCTTCTCTCTTTCAATATCTTCTGCTAATTGAGGAGTGATGTTTAGTTCTTTGTACGTCTTCTTTTGCTTCTTAATTTTGAAAGGTTCAATAAAGGTATCATGAATAAGACCAGCTCTCATTCCTCTAAAGCCACTGTAAGGAGCAGGCATGTGTATTCCAGTAACTTCAACGATGTCTCCTGGTGTACACTGATTGACTAAGAGACCTTTGGCTTGGATCTTTAATGTTCGAGGTACATGACCAACTGGAACTTGATCAGAAAGCTCCTGAACCTTAATATCTTGGTAACTCAAGAACTTTGATCCTCTCACTTGCAAATACAACTTTCCTTTGACATCCTTTTTAACACAGAGTGGAGCAGGACACTCAGATAAAGGAGTGAATTGCTTTCCTGGAATTGTTTGGTATGATTCATTACCGCATTGCTCTCAAGAATAGCAAGCTACTTCGATGCTTGGCCTGACCTCAGTACACTTAGTTACAATTCCTTTAAAAGTGACCAAACTTCCAATAGTTTCAGCATGGATCTCTCTCATTTTAAACTCATGAGGTTTTTCATTTTCTCCTCTAAGAATATAGAGTTCATAATCTCTGGACATCTCCAAAGGTAACTGATTTTTCGGGTCATTAAAGACTCTAAAATTAGCTTCATTCTTTTCCTTATCAGCTTGCATATTCTCACATCTTTGCTTATAAATAATCGAAGCTACACTCTCCTCGTAATCATCTGGAGGAGGCATAGTTCTCTTCGGCATCAATTTATCAATAGCCTGACTAAAGAGGGAGATATATCTTTTAGTATTTCTAGTGACTCTTTGAACAAAGGCTGGATCCCCTCTAAAGTGTTGCTCAAGATCACCCACTTCTATCTTGATAACCTTTCCTCTGTTATTAGCAATAGATTGCATTTGGATTAAGTACTTTGCTTTCCCATGAGTAGCATCTTCTTCTAACCCAGGATCTTCAAATTGGCAAATAAAATCTTCGCATTTGGCTATAAGTAAAATGTTAGTTCTGATCTATTGAATTGACCTACTTGCTTCATCTTCATAATTTGGCCTGTAGTATTCCACTGGTTGAGTCATTTTTAATAAATTTAACTAAAAATAGTTGTTGAGTAGTTCCTATTTGATAAAATCCTTTCAATATCACAATTCTGCACAGGGGTTTTGGGGTTTTGGGGTTTTGGGG